TACCTTGGCACTAATCCCCTGCACATACTGCCAGTTGCCATACCTTGGTACTACTCTCCTGCACATTCCACCTAATGTCATACCTTGGTACTAATCTCCTGCGCATACCGCATGCTGTCATACCTTGGCACTACTCTCCTGCACATCCTGCCTGCTGTTATACCTTGGTACTACTCTCCTGCACATTCCACCTATTGTCATACCTTGGTACTAATCTCCTGCACATACCGCATGCTGTCATACCTTGGCACTACTCTCCTGCACATCCTGCCTGCTGTTATACCTTGGTACTACTCTCCTGCACATTCCACCTACTGTCATACCTTGGTACTAATCTCCTGCGCATACCGCATGCTGTCATACCTTGGCACTACTCTCCTGCACATACTGCCTGCTGTTATACCTTGGTACTACTCTCCTGCACATTCCACCTACTGTCATACCTTGGTACTAATCTCCTGCGCATACCGCATGCTGTCATACCTTGGCACTACTCTCCTGCACATACTGCCTGCTGTTATACCTTGGTACTACTCTCCTGCACATTCCACCTACTGTCATACCTTGGTACTAATCTCCTGCGCATACCGCATGCTGTCATACCTTGGCACTACTCTCCTGCACATACTGCCTGCTGTTATACCTTGGTACTACTCTCCTGCACATTCCACCTACTGTCATACCTTGGTACTAATCTCCTGCGCATACCGCATGCTGTCATACCTTGGCACTACTCTCCTGCACATAGCGCCTGCTGTCATACTTCTGTATTATTCTTCTACACATATTGCCCGCTGTCAGGCCCACACTTCTCTCCCGTACATAATGCCCACTGTCATACCTCGGTACTACTCTCCTACACATAGGCATAGATTTTACTAAAAACACTCAGAAGCTGGTGCAGCTGTACTTGGTAGCCAATCAGCTTCTAAACTCACCATGTTCAATTAAGCTTTGGCAATGAAACCTGGAAGCTGATTTGCACTCTCCAGTTTTAGTAAAGAAAAAACCCATACTGCCCACTGTCATACCCTCGGTACTCGTCTCCTGCATATTCTGTCCACAAAGACACCGTAGCATTGATAGTTATATCCTCAACCTTTCTCATTCAGGACAGGTACACTTTTTCTGCTTTAGCTAATTTGCCACTTAAGATTCAGCTCTGTTACTTTGAAGTATCTGAGGGTGAAGTGACTGAGTGACATATCAGATGTGTTAGACTTAAAGCAACCCTATGGGACACCTGCTCTCTTTCTACACTTGAAGGTAAATAATATCTCTGTGGGTTTAAATGTCCAGACAAACAGCTGAACCACTGAACTAAAAATTCCCTGCTGTAGCAACTAATGTTCTGCTACTTCTTAAACAATCCCTGGAAATGTCCATTGCACCCGCGCACCTAGTGATACTGTATACAGTATATGTGGTTATACGGAGAAAGATAAAGTGTCTATTCTGGCATAGTCCATAGTCCATCTTGGTATCAAATAAGTGGGTAACTTAAAAGAAAACCATTCCAGTGTCACCATTCTTTGTCATTTCTGATTTCACATTTACCTTTTCCCTGATCCATATGTTAATTAATATTTTTTCAGTTAACACATTTGAGTATGATTTGTGATACTTATTTTTATTTGCACTAACAGTTCATTTTTCAGTGTAAGTTTTCCTGGGTCTGCCCACCTTTTGGGGTTTTGCACTGCAACACTGATAGTTCCCCTGCACATGCATTGTTTTATTGATTGAGACATTTTTTTTATCTTCAAAGTTTATGCCCTCACCACACATTGTTTGAGTTGAACGTTCGGCTAACCTACCTACGAACAGTGAGGGCATTCAGCGCGCTGTTGACTCGACACACCTCAAAATGCAGTGCGCTTTGTCAGTGCATTGTGATTGGCCAAAGCAATGTACCTGACCGCAGGTCAGGTGCAATGCTTTGGCCAATCACAGCACAAGTGGGTGGAGCTAGCGGTGACATCACCGCTAGCTCTTACCAATTTTTTTTACATTTGACCAGCAAATGTCAGATAGCGGTGAGTGCTCGGTAGGTGCGGATGGGCCGGCGGACGGCAGGGTTTTTTCTATTTCAGCAAGTGAGCATCGTCGTGACACCACTGGATGCTGTGATTGGCGATGGATAATGATAGAACCATTTTTTTGGCTTTTTTTTTTTTTTAAATAATGGACTGTAGTTGTGCTTTTATTCGTATTTTACACTTTTTTGGTGAATGGGTAGGGTACTATGTACCCCATACTCATTCACAAGGGGGGGAGGTGGAATCTGGGGGCCCCCTTTTTAAAGGGGTTTCCAGATTCTGATAAGTAACCCTTCCCGCAAACCCCCACAACCACAGCCCATAGGGACAAGGTGTTTTTGGGGGGGGAGCACCTCCCCCATGTTGAGGGCACTTGGCCTGGTACAGTTCTGGGGGGGCACTCGCTCATCCCCCCCTTTCCTGGCCTGCCAGGCCTCTGCTCTGATCAAGGGCCTGGTATGGATTTTAGGGGGAACCCCACACACTTTTAGGAATTACAGCTCTTAAGAGTAGCCATCTCCCCTTTTTCAAGGGACCAAAAGTAATTGGACAATTGAATCAAAAGCTGTTTTATGGCCAGGTGTGGGCTACTCCTTTGTTATTTCTTCATCAATTAAGCAGGTAAAAGGTCTGGAGTTGATTCAAAGGAGCTCTCCATGCAAGAGGAATAGGCCATTATAAGGCTTCAAAAAATAAACAAATCCATCAGAGAGATAGCAGTAACATTAGGAGTGGTCAAATCAACAGTTTGGTACTTTCTGAGGAAAGAAGAATGCACTGGTGAGCTCAGCAACATAAAAAGGCATGGACGTCCATGGAAGAAAACAGTGGTGGATGATCTCAGGGTCCTCTCTATGGTAAAGAAAAACCCATTCATGACATCCAGAGGGCATATCATTGTCAGTCTACAATCAAGAGAAGATTTCACGAGAGCAAATACAAAGGATTCACCACAAGGTGCAAACCATTCAAAAGCCTGAAGAATAGCCAGATTACATAGTTACGTAGTTAGTCTGGCTGAAAAAAGACAAAAGCCCGTCCAGCTCAACCATAGAGAAAAAAAAAAAGTTATAATCCTATACCCACAGTTGATCCAGAGGAAGGCAACCCCCCCCCCAGCAAAGCTTGATCCAATTTGCACCTGCTGGGGAAAAAAAAAATTCCTTCCTGATCCCCCAAGAGGCAATCGGATATTCCCTGGATCAACTTTACCTATAAGTTATATTCTGTGTATCTAAGAAAGAATCCAGGCCTTTTTTGAAGCAATCCACTGAGCTGGCTAGAACCAACTCTTGAGGGAGTCTATTCCACATTTTCACAGCTCTTACTGTGAAGAAACCTTTCCATGTTTGGAGATTAAATTTCTTTTCCTCCAGACGTAAAGAGTGCCCCCTTGTCCTCTGTAATGACCTCAGGGTGAATAACTCTACACCGAGTTCACTATATAAACCACTGATGTATTTATACATGTTGATCATATCCCCCCTTAATCTCCTCTTCTTAAGAGATAATAAATGTAGTTCCTCTAAATCTTTCCTCATAGCTGAGCTCCTCCATGCCTCTTATCAGTTTGGTTGGCCTTCTCTGTACTTTCTCAAGTTCCCCAATGTTCTTTCTGTGAATTGGTGCCCAAAACTGAACTGCATATTCCAGATGAGGTCTTACTAATGATTTGTACAGGGTAATATGATATCTCTCTCTGGAGTCTATACCTCTTTTAATACAAGAGAGGATTTTACTCGCTTTAGAAACTGCAGCTTGACATTGCATGCCATTATTAAGCTTGTGATCTACCAGAACTCCCAGATCCTTCTCCACCATTGATTCCCCCAGTTGTACTCCCCCTAGTATGTATGATGCATGCATATTCTTAGCTCCCAAGTGCATAACCTTTCATTTATCAACATTAAACCTCATTTGCCACATAGTTGCCCAATTAAACAGTGCATTGAGGTCGGCTTGTAAATTGAAGACATCCTCTAAGGACGTTATTCCACTGCACAGATTAGACTTTGACAAAAAACATCTAAAAAAGCCAGACTAGTTCTGGAAAAGCATTCTTTGGATGGATGAAACTAAGATGAATCTGTAACAGAATGATGGGAAAGAAGAAGTGTGGAGAAGGCTTGGAACAGTTCATGATCCAAAGCACACAACGTCATCTGTAAAACATTGTGGAGGCAGTGTGATGGCATGGGCATGCATGGCTTCCAGTGGCACTGGGTCATTAGTGTTTATTGATGATGTGACAGCTGCTTGCTGGATGAATTCTGCAGTGTTTAGAGATATACTGTCAGCCCAGATTCAGCCAAATGCAGCAAAGTTGATTAGACAACGCTTCACAGTACAGATGGACAATGATCCAAAACACTGCAAAAGCAACCCAGGAGCTTTTAAAGGAAAAGAAGTGGAATATTCTGCAATGGACGAATCAATCACCTGATCGCAACCCAATTGAGCATGCATTTCACTTGCTGAAGGAATAGTTATAGTTAGGCCTTTCCTCCACTTTAAGGAACATTAAGATCATGGAGGTCTGATATGTAGATGACACTAGTGTTGGGGCTCTGTTATCACTCCCACTGAGCACTGACATTGAGACACCCATGGGGGGGGGTGGGGTGTCAGTAGTTAAAGGTATGTGGGTGTCAGTTTCAACCCCTGATCAATTTAGTGATAGCACACACGCTTTACCAAATAGTTTGTGTCAAGCTAAAATGTCATATGATCTCAAAGTCAGGCTCGGTTGAACACATCACTGCCCTACCCATGCTGCCATTTGCAGCCTCGGCTGTCAATCAATGGGTCCCGGCAGAGTTGGGAACCATACAAAGCAGTGTGCACAGCACACAATTACCCCTTTGATTGCCCCAGATGTTAACCCCTTCCTGCCCAGTACCATTAGTGCAATGTCAGTGCTTTTTATTTAGCACTGATCATTGTATTGGTGTCACTGGGGATGTCAGTGACACCAAGTCAGTTCCCCCCAGTGTCAGAATGCCCGCCGCAGTCTTGCTATAAGTCGCTGATCGCCACCATTACTAGTAAAAAAAAATTCCAGTATATATACCACCATTTGTAAACGCTATAACTTTCATGTAAGCCAATTAATTTACATGTATTGAGATTTTTTTTTAGAAAAGACATGTAGCAGAATACATTTTGGCCTAAATTTATGATGAAATTAGATTTTTTACTAGACATGTTAAGTAGCAAAATGTCAAAAATATTGTTTTTTTTTCCCTAAATTGATGGTCTTTTTTTGTTTATAGCTCAAAAAATAAAAACCGCAGAGGTGATCAAATACCACCAAAAGAAAGCTCTATTTCTGGGAAAAAAGACATAAATTTAATTTGCGTGTAGCGTTGCATGACTGTGCAATTGTCAGTTAAAATAACGCAGTGCTGTATTGCAAAAAATGGCCCGGTCAGGAAGGCGGGTAAATCCTCTGGAGGGCAAGTGGTTAATAAACACAAAAACGATTGGAGCTCCTCTTTAAAGCAGAACTCCACCCAATAGGGGAAGTTCCGCTTTAATGACTGATCCCCCACTTCCTGTTAAGGATTGGCAACTTGGGGAGCTGGGGGGGAAGCAGATACCCGAAATTGACAGGTATCTGCTCCCACTTCCGCTGCGATCACCTAGGCTATCGGAAACACAGGTTGTCCTCCTTCCCTCCCTCCCCGTAGTCTTCTGGAACACATGACCGGTCCCAGAAGACTACGGGACCATTCACAAAGCACAGCACTACTTAAAAATATATTCTTCAGATTTTTTTTAACATATAAAAAAGTCATTTTAACACATATTTTTACATATATTTGTAAATGCATTCCAAAAATGTAGATTTGTATTTTTAAAGACATACAGTATATTTGAAAATGTATTTTTAAAAATATTTTTCATATATTTTGTAATAAAAAACGCATTTCAACATACAGTATATATATATATATTGAATATGGATAAAATTGTAGTATTTCAAATATATATCAATATATTTGGGAAGAATATTTTTAAAATATATTTCAAATATATTTTTCTTCCATGTGACTCTGGTCCACAGTTCCAGCAGAGGGTTTGCCACATGGAATGGGGTGCAATTGACTGATGCTGCAGCTGTTTTCCCTCTCCTTGGCTGAGAGAAGAGAGAGAGATGGAGCTCCAACGCTGGAACTTTGGGCCCCAACAATTACAAATACACTGGTAGTGAGAAGGGTTTAGAGATGCTGACAGACCTTTAGTTCCAAATAATTGCCTTAGTTAGGACCCCCCCTGGTTTTAGGGCTCAGGGCAGAGACATTTGGTCTTCCAGTTATCTATGGTGTTATACAAAATTGACTGTTGTTGTTCATCATTGTTGCTGTTTTGTATTTTTTTTTTTGCCTGTTGGGATTCTTCTCCCAAATAAATTCTCCTTGTTTAGTCTTGGTATGGCATTGCTGGGAAGGTTACTAACATCTGGAATCAGGAACCCAAACATCAGCGACTCCTTCAGGAGTACGCACTACAAATCATTTGCCATAGCTATTCAGAACATCTGCTACAGTTGCAAGAAAAAGTATGTGAACCCCTTGGGATTACGTGGAGTTTTGCATGAATTGGGCATAAAATGTGCTCTGAACGTCATTTAAGTCACAACAATAGAAGAACACAGTCTGCTGAACATAATACTACACAAACATTAGATGTTGCCATGGTTTAATTGCACATAACATGTAAACATTCACAGTGCAGGGAGGAAAAAGTATGTGAACCTTTGGACTTAATAACTGGTTGACCTTCCTTTGGCAGCAATAACCTCAATCAAACGTTTCCTGTAGTTGCAGATCAGACCTGCACAACGATCTGGAGTAATTTTGGACCACTCCTCTTCACAAAACTGTTTCAGTGTAGCAATATTCTTGGGATGTCTGGTGTAAATCGCTCTCTTAAGGTCATGCCACAGCATTTCAATCGGGTTGAGGTCAGGACTCTGACTGGGCCACTCCAGACGGCGTATTCTGTGCTGTTTCAGCCATTGTTTTGTTGAATTACTTGTATGCTTTGGGTCATTGTCCTGTTGCATCACCCATCCTCTGCGGAGCTTCAGTTGGCGGACAGATGGTCGTACGTTTTCCTGCAAAATGTCTTGATAAACTCTGGAATTCATTTTCCCATCAATGACAACAATCCATCCAGGCCCTGAGGCAGCAAAGCAGCCCCAAACCATGATGCTCCCCTCCGCCATGTTTTACAGTGGGGATGAGGTTTTGATGTTGGTGTGCTGTGCCTTTTTTTCTCCACACATAGTGTTGTGTGTTCTTCCCAAACAACTCAATCTTGGTTTCATCTCTCCACAGTATATTTTGCCAGTAGTGCTGTGGAACATCCAGGTGCTCTTTTGCAAACTTCAAACGTGCTGCAATATTCTTTTTGGACAGCAATGGCTTCCTCCGTGGTGTCCTCCCATGTACTCCATTCTTGTTTAATGTTTTCCTTATTGTAGATTTGTCAACAAAAATGTTAGCATGTGCCAGAGATTTCTGTAGGTCTTTAGCTGACATTCTGGGATTCTTCTTTACCTCATGCAGCATTCTGCGCTGTGCTCTTGCAGTCATTTTTACAGGACGACCTCGTCTAGGGAGAGTAGCAACAGTGCTAAATTTTCTCCATTTGTAGACAGTCTGTCTTACCGTGGACACATGAACATCAAGGCTTTTGGAGATACTTTTGTAACCCTTTCCAGCTTCATGCAAGTCAACAATTCTTGATCGTAGGTCTTCTGAGAGCTCTTTTCTGCGAGGCATGGTTCACATCAGACAGTGCTTCTTGAAACCAGTAAATCCAAAACAGGTGTGTGTTTTTTAAGGGAAGGACAGCTGTCAGCAACACATCCAATATCATCACACTGATTGGAGTCAAGGTTGGCTCACTCCTGGCTCCAATTAGCTCTGGGAGAAGTCATTAAGCTAGGGCCTCACATACTTTTTCCTCCCTGCACTGTGAATGTTTACATGTTATGTGCAATTAAACCATGGCAACATCTAATGTTTGTGTAGTATTATGTTCAGCAGACTGTGTTCTTCTATTGTTGTGACTTAGATGACGTTCAGAGTACATTTTATGCCCAATTCATGTAAAACTCCACGTAATCCCAAGGGGTTCACATACTTTTTCTTGCAACTGTATGTACCTGCCATTATATCAGATCATGTGACATTGTTCTGTATGTTTTGTAACACTGGCAAATGATTGATCCTAAGGATCAACATTGCCCTTTCCCTTTTTTGCTAATTCTAAAATCTCCATTTGCATTCACTACTATTCTTCCTGTTTAGAAGCATTGCACATTCAAATTATAAAGTAAATCTGCTCAGCAAAATCTGGCTGGACCCATATTTCACAGGTTATCGTTAGCTTTAATCTTTTTGGCATTTATATTACTGCCTATATCCTGTTTATTTTAACAGGAACTAAAAGGATACATTTTTTTGCAATGTAATTTCTTGCCCTATTTTTATTGTCAGCTAAACTACATTATGTGTGCTAAGCCATGTTAGGCTCCCTCTGCTGGTCAGTTTTATAGTTTTTAAATCCGTGTTTAATATGACAATTTGCCCATGTGCTCACAATAATAAGATTCTTGTATTCAGTATTCACCATAAAATCAGTTACTTGATGTCTATTGATGAACATAGGAAGTCTTTAACTTTGGGTTATACTGCTGCTTACAGAAGGATTTGACACTAGTAAGCAAAAAAAACTGTAGGCTAGTCCAGGATAATTCCTTCCAGTACCAACATGGGTGGAACCGATGTTGCTCAAGGGACTTCTTTAATCCCCACTGGGGGACACAAGAAGTCTTGCCAATGGCTCCTGTGTCTCAGCCAATGGGGAGGCAGAGACCTGGCAGAGCTCTTGCTCTTGTACTAGGGCTCAGATGAGTATAAGGGGACTGAGGGGGAAGCTGCAGTACATCTACAGAGCTTTGGGAATAATAGCAGTAGACTGTGACTCCTCATGGGAAAGGTCATTAGTTAATGATAGAAATATAAATAAACAGCGCAAATCAAAACCCCCTCAATGAATAGCATAAATCAATTACAGTACAGTGTAAAAATCAAAATCAAAATTAAATAATAATCAAGTGTCCCTCCAAAAAAAAATATAAATTATTTAAATCATATTGAAATGTCCAAAAAAAATATAAAAATTATATTAAATAAACAAAAGTCCTTTCTCCCACATAGATAGTGTATTTAAAAAACTCTTTCTCCAAAAAACATTGTGCTTCCACCATCCACCTATGAAACACCAACATCAACCGCACTCACCAGATGATGGTGAGTAATGCACCTTTTAGGATTTTTGGGATCCTAAACCCCCAATAAAGCCTCCAGGACTCCTTTCCACCATATAAGATTTGGGATTCTCTTCCCACTCGCACTTCCGGTCTGCCGTCCTTACGTCCCGAGTCACTTCCGGTGAGTGGAACGCACGTGGTGCATTCCAAGTGGCCATCTTGAATGTTTGTTGGAGCTGTATCCTGTCATCCTCTGCTTAAAATAAGCTGTGAGATCTCTGATGTGAGGTTGTGAAAACTTTGGAATCTATGCTAGCCGATGGAGGCAATAAACCAATGCTTTTATTCATCCTTTGAAATGTGAGTGGTCTGGCATTTTTATTAGTACTGCACAGGGTAAATAGCAGTATTACACTATTATATATATTTTTCCCTTGCACTGCTGTGGAGTTTGGTGAAAGGAGAAGGCAGGAGCGAGTGGAAGGAGAATCCCAAATCTTATATGGTGGAAAGGAGTCCTGAAGGCTTTAATGAGGGTTTAGGATCCCAAAAATACTAAAAGGCACATTACTCACCGTCATATGGTGAGTGCGGTTGATGTTGGTGTCTCACTGGTGGATGGTGGAAGCACAATCTTTTTGGAGAAAGAGTTTTTTAATTACACTATGTGGGAGAAAGGACTTTTGTTTATTTAATATAATTTTTATATATTTTTTTTTGGACACTTTAATATGATTTAAATAA